GGCAGCAACAGGTATGACTCATTGTCATCCATAGCACTCTAGCAAATAAAAGTAGCTATTTACACTCATAAAGAAAATTTCATAAAAATATTTCATTGAATCAGGAGTATACATTATGTTTTATTAAAACTAATCAATTATGAATCAGTCATGTAGTTTTCAGATTCTAGTACATTGTATGAAAGTTTTTTTAAAAGCTGCTTTACAGTTAATTGACTCAATTTCAGGTACAACAAGCTAGTATTAGATATCATTGCTACAGATGGTACATGCATGAAATTGGTAGATGAAATACACACCTTTGTTCAGGCAGCTTCTCATCCAATCGGAAATCTCCTCATCAAAGGTGTTGCCATGGGAACCTCCCACACAGCAGCAGTAACAGGTTGCTATTTTTGGTTTATTTTATTTTGATTAAGGTACTACCAATCTCTCCTTTCTGCTCTTATGTATTCCTAAAAGTCTATAAAAGACCTGACAACAAGGCATTAATTGTAAATGGGTTTTTTCCTAAGTTGTGCATTTTTACAGTGTACATGTAAATATCTTCCTTTAATGCTTTGTATTATATCAAGATTTAATGCAATCTCTCTTTTTTGAAGCGGAAGGTAACTGCTATACGTTTGGTAACAATCAGTTTGGACAGCTGGGTAATCAGGTTAGCAACAGCAGACAACCACAGGAAGTCAAGATTGCACCGAATCAGAAGGTTGCCATGGTAGCTTGCGGGGACACTTTCACTGTCGTGGTGGCAGAGGGTAAGGACTGGTAAAAACCCTGTATAACACAGGTGATGACTGGACTTGAGTTGAGAGAGTTGCTCTTTCATTACTAGTACTGGAATGATGTGTAAAAACTAATTACAAGTTTATATTGAATGATGCATCTTAAAATGCTGCTCATTTCCTTTTACAATGATTATAGGAAACTTCAAAAGTTGCAAGGTTAAATAAATCTGTGTTTGTCAGGCTGAGCCTTTTCATTTTGATTTTTTCTATAGAGGGAGAGGTATATTCCTTTGGGAACCAGTCAAGAGGTCGGCTAGGACGTCCTGAGGAAGACCCCACAGAACCAAGGAAAGTCCCCTTCATAGGAGAGGAGCCCTTTAATGTTGTGTCTCTGTCTTGTAGTCATGGCAACACACTTTTAGCCACTAGACGTATGTATCATAAATATATTTATTATTTTAATATCATCATCCTACATGTAAGAACTGTGGCATCATTTTATATGTGGTCAGTTTGACAATCATGGACAATGTTTTCACAGATCTAGCCATTTGTTATACCCCCCGCAAACGAAGTTTAGGGGGGGTATATTGGAATCGGCATGTCCGTCTGTCTGTCCGTCGGTCTGTAGACGAGATTTTGTCCGGACCATTTCTTGGAAACTGTTGCAAGGATTTGTCTGAAAATTTGTACACTTATTATTTGCCATATGAAGGTGTGCACCTGGTATTTTCATCATGATTGGATATTTTTTTTGCATTTTACAGGTGTTTTTTTCATATTTATTATGTGGTTTTGTCCGGATCTGTTCCCAGAGACCATTGCATGGATTTGTATGAAAATTTGTACACTTATTATTTACCATATGAAGATGTGCACCTGGTATTTTCAACATTATTTGATAATTTTTCTGCATTTTACAGGTGTTCTTTTTTTCATTTTTATTGACTTAGTCATTTCAGGTTCATGTCTAAGGTTTGAGACATGGAATCTAGAGAACATCTGTAAAAAAATGTGAACTAAAGCTTAAAATTACTCATTAGAACTAAAAAAAAAAAATCACAAAGTATTAAAAACAGTTTTTACATTACACAGCAGATAATGTAAATCCATTTGTCCCTTGGGAGTAATGAGTGGACATGCATCCAGTTAAAGATTTATTAATGAGTTCAGTGTGGGAAGCTGTTAGGGCATCTCTGATCAAGCAGGTCTTATCTACATCTCCTGGGAATTGGGCAGAAAGAAATAAAGATCTCTGTTTTCTAAGTCTCTTAATTGTAATATATGTCTGTCAAAATACATAGTTACAGTTACTGGAACCAGCCTTTTATTTTTAAAATGAGTTTCATATAAAGGTATTAAGATCAATTTAATTTTGTGTAATTATGATATTTTTTTTTTCAACGATCAATTTGCAGTGTCATGTCTCACAAAGATGACAGATAGTTGCAAACTATTTTTTCAATGTAATAAAAAAACACTGTAATTATTAGTATTGATGTTTTATTAGGCTGCACCTTAGTTTCATTCATTAAAAAAAATATGAGTAAAATGTTTAAGCAAATTGTAAACATGCACCTCTCACATCTAGAAAACATTAGTGATTTGGTACCTTCTCGGAAAAACCCAGCGGGGGGTATTTGTCCCTTTTGGACAGTTCTAGTTAAGTTTGAAGGCCAAAAAAGAATTTTTGGAGGAATCATAAATTTCATCTTATGACACGTTCTTGAAAATTTAAATCATTGTATAAATAAATGCCATCTTCATGAAACTGTTCATATTTTTGCGTTACAGCCACACAACAAATGAATGGAGAAAACATATAAGGCAGATATGAAAAAGATGACTATGCATTAAGGTTCAGGCTCCCTGGTGAGAGTGACCTCTTTGTGGAAATACAGGCACAAAACCATGCCATGGAAATTTGCATAGTGCTGTTTTAACATGTGGGCTGTACATGTTATTCACCTGTACCATTAATTCTGTGGTAACATTTAAACTCAGGAGATCGTAACATATTTACGCATACCAGAATTTCCAAGTTGCTATTTAAATTCGGGAGCTGATGCTACACAAAAGATCATGTGTTCTACAATGTGCTACACGGGCCTAAAGTTAGAAATTATGTAATTGTTGCAAGTTGATGGGAATAATTTTAAAGCTTTTCATTATTTTTATCATTATTTTCCGTCCCTGTCAAAACATGCATTTGTGCCAAATGAAAACCATGTTCCTTTTAAATACATGTATTGTGTACTACGCCAATTTTTGGATTTTTTTTTTGCATTTGATGATGTGCCAATATAGTGTGCAATAAATACAAGTAATTCTTAGACTTTTGTTCACTTTTTTTAGTTTTCATTTTCATATTCAGTTTATGTAAAACGTCAATTTACAACATTCCAAAATTATCGAATTTTGTTAATGGGGGCAGCTATGCCTTATCTATCTGAGTTCTGTGTGCACTGAAGTGATGCAGAATTTTTGGTTGCATGCCACGCTGACAGAAATAACAGGTACTTAAAAATCAAACAGGCCTATTAAGTGACAAAGGAGAACAAAAGACAAATTTTTACATACCATTTATTGCAAAAAACAATTTTGCACCACTTTTGAATTTCTGCCATTTGAAGAAAAACAAGAGGCCCATGGGCCACAACGCTCACCTGAGTAACCTTGGCCTTGCTGTTTTTCACCTGATTTCTCCCCCCCCCCCCCCATAAGTACTTATTGTGGCCCCGGCCTACCCCCAGGGGTCATGTTTTGAACAATTAGAATCTACACTACCCCGGGATGCTTCCACATAAGTTTCAGCTTTTCTGGCCCAGTGGTTCTTGAGAAGAAGATTTTTAGACTTTTTCTGCATATTTCAACGTAAAACTTGGATTACCTAATGTGGCCCAGCCCTACTCCCGTGGGTCATGATTTGAACAATTTGGAATCTACACTACCCCAGGATGCTTCCACATAAGTTTCAGCTTTTCTGGCCCAGTGGTTCTTGAGAAGAAGATTTTTGAAGATTTTTACTACATATTTCAATGTAAAACTTGGATTCCCTATTGTGGCCCCGCCCTACCCCCGCGGGTCATGATTTGAACAATTTAGAATCTACACTACCCCGGAATGCTTCCACATAAGTTTCAGCTTTTCTGGCCAAGTGGTTCTTGAGAAGAAGATTTTTAAAGATTTTTACTACATATTTCAATGTAAAACTTGGATTCCCTATTGTGGCCCCGCCCTACCCCCGGGGGTCATGATTTGAACAATTTAGAATCTACACTACCCCAGGATACTTCCACATAAGTTTCAGCTTTTCTGGCCCAGTGGTTCTTTTGAAGAAGATTTTTAAAGATTTCTACTACATATTTCAATGTAAAACTTGGATTCCCTATTGTGGCCCCGCCCTACCCCCGGGGGTCATGATTTGAACAATTTAGAATCTACACTACCCCAGGATACTTCCACATAAGTTTCAGCTTTTCTGGCCCAGTGGTTCTTGAGAAGAAGATTTTTTAATGATCCCACCCAATTTTTGTATTTTCTTGATTATCTCCCCTTTGAAGGGGACTTGGCCCTTCATTTTAACAATTTAAACTCTCCTTTACCCAATGATGCTTTGTACCAAGTTTGGTTAAAATTGGCCCAGTGGTTCTTGAGAAGAAGTCGAAAATGTGAAAAGTTTACAGACAGACGGACGGACAGACGGACGGACGACGGACAACGGGTGATCAGAAAAGCTCACTTGAGCTTTCAGCTCAGGTGAGCTAAAAAAAGCCATTGGTGAAAACAGCCAATCCCAGCCCGAGCACTTCATACAGGTATGCCGGTATGTGCATGATTAATAAAACATACTTCAATTTTTTAATTTTAATAATGATGACAAAAATTCAGACACCTAGAAATTAATATACAGGATTTTTACCCAAATTTGCAAAAATAAATAATTGTAGAAATTTTCAGATTTATTGGTAAACTAAAATTGATTAAAAGTGGTTCAGGTGATGCTCAAAAGTTTCTGCACAATGCCTGGTGCATGGCAATGGACAAATATAGATAGCAATAGGTAACCTGAGTGACTCAGGTGACATAAAAAAAAAAAAAACGGAGAAAGGAATGGGCCAGGAACTTCAAATCGTTCCTTCTGAGCAAGAACTCCTTTAACCAATATCATTATATTCAGTTTTTATTGCCTCCTTATACCATTATACTTATATATAACTATAATCAGGCAGAAAGCTCAATAATCACACAGAAAAAAAATCAATTGCCATGTCAATGAAACTGAATGTTTATTATGTTACACATAATGCATGATTATCATGATATCATCAGTTTCCAAGCATTACCTGTGACTATGTGTGCCATTTATAAGAATCTTTTACGAACAAATTAGAAATACATACAGTACATGCAAAGAGTAAATTAGACTACCCTTGAAATGGTCAAGGATGAATTGTGTTTTACACAGTTTAAATGCTGATTTCTACTACATGTAATATGACTAAGAGACTAACACTAGTAAAGAGCACAAGAATAATGATACAAGTTTGTAATCATAACTGACTACTGAATAGTCAAGTGATTCTGTTTTTGCTTAAGGAACACAGCTCTCAACATATCAGTCAGGTTTGTACAATACTTTCTTGTACATCTTACATCTGCTTTCATTAACATGTACATTAACTCTGTATCGGTCAAATGTGAACTCATAAATATTTTTATGATTTAGACACAAATAATGCTCCAACTTTGCTCTTATGAAGACACTGGCTACAGGTGTCTTGTAGATCATCTAAATATGATGAGTGGAGCTAAGGATGTCACAAAGCTCACACAGACATTCGTTGAGAGCTAATGGTATAACAAAGCTCACGTGGACATGGGTGGAGCGAATGATGTCACGAAGCTCATGTAGACATGGGTGGAGCTAATGGTGTCATGGCTTCCTCTAGGTTAATGTGGGAGATAAACCTGAGCCTCAGAGTCAGGGCCGGCCTGAAATTCCGGATTATTTTCTCAATGTCATGCTTCACACTGTCCCCAACAAACATGTACTTGATATGGTATCTAAATAAAGGTCAAGGTTATATTCTCCAGACGACAACTTAAAAAGACCAAATGATCTGATTTATATTACATATCATAAATTATTGCTAAATTTTTCATCTAAAGTCTATTTAAAGAGATGACCACTCTTAATGAGGATTAGAAAGGATACAGGAAATCTGTAATTGGGTCAAGGTATCGCAGGTGGTCACATGATTTATCCACATTGACCAAAATTTCATACAGCTCCACAACCAACTAGTAAAAGGAAATTAAAAAAAAAAAACATGCTTAACACATACATGTACACCAAGAAATATTTTAATTTCAAATCTCTGTACCGACTCGGAGCTAAATGATGGACCCACTGACCTCCATGAGACTTTTAGTTTTCTCGGAGTGAAGTCGCTGTAAGAATGGACCCACCAGGTGACACACATAAAGGAACTGTTCCTCCGTCTTCACCACTGGCTTCAGGTGATCCCTCAAAAATCTACAACAATCATGGATTAAAAATCTTCCTTTTAAAACTCTTATGTATGAAATTCCAATTTAAAATCGCCTACAATATTAATACAGTACATGTTTAAAAAAAAAAGGAAAAAAGGTGTGTTAGTGAAACACTGATGCCCCCATATGGCAGCTTATGGCAAAGGTTTAAGTTTCTCAAATGCAAGTCAAAATCCAGGCCAAAAGATAAAATATGTTGGTACCCAAAGAGAGGTCTTGTCTCGAGGAATACACCTGTAAAATTTGAAAGCCCTAGCTGCAACTGTTCAAAAGTTATGGCAAAGGTTAAAGTTTTTTGAAAAGTAAGTAAAACGTCAAGGTCAAGGTCAAAGTTGTTGGTATCCAAAGGAAGGTCTTGTCACAATGATTACATATGTGAAGTAAGAAAGCCCTAGCACCAACCATTCAAAAGTTATGGCCAAGGTTAAAGTTTTTCGAAAGTAGGTCAAACTCCTAGGTCAAGGTCAATAGGTCAAATTGGTTGGTATCCAAAGAAAGGACTTGTCACAAGGATTACATATGTGAAGTAAGAAAGCCCTAGCACCAACTGTTCAAAAGTTATGGCCAAGGTTAAAGTTTTTCAAAAGTAGGTCAAACGTCAAGGTCAAAGGGTCAAAGAGATTGATATTCAGAGGAAGGTCTTGTCACAAGGAATACACATGTGAAGTTTGAAACTCTAAGTACCAACTGTTCAAAAGTTATGGCCAAGGTTAAAGTTTTTCAAAAGTAGGTCAAAGTCCAAGGTCAAGGTCAAAAGGTCAAAGTTGTTGGTATCCAAAGGAAGGCCTTATCACAAAGAATACACATGTGAAGTTTGAAACCCCAAGCACCAATTGTTCAGAAGTTATGGCCAAGGTTAAAATCTCATAAAATTTTGCAAAAGTGGGTGAAACTCCAAGGTCAAGGTCAAAAGGTCAAATATGATGGTACCCAAAGAAAGGTCTTGTCACGAGGAATACACATGTGAAATATGAAAGTCATAGCTCCAACCAATCAAAAGTTATGGGCAAGGTTAAAGTTGACAACAGACAGACAGACAAACAGACACACAGGACAAAAACAATATACCCCCGGGGTCTTTCGATCCAGGTTCATAAAAAATTACAAGTAAGAAATAATACATGTACTAATATACATGTAATGCACTTATCCTGAAAATCTGCCAAAAACTTTATTTAAAACAATATATAAGTGCAATTAAGATGATATATAATGTATATTAGTATGCTATTTGGAACTCAGAAACTCAAGTACAGTAAGATTATTGGACAAGTTTTGTAATGTAAGGAGTGATGAGACACTGAATATTTATACATTGTACTAACATACAGGTACATGTATATTCCATGAGATAATAAATACTAATTTTTTCCCCAAAGACATTAAAAACGTCATTCCCAACTTATGTTGAAGCATTGAGATACAGAATGCTCGCACACTTCCATTGAATTGTACAGTACTGAGTGTTTACATCAGGGCTCAATTGACAGTTTTGGTACATGTTCCTGTACATTTTAAGTGGGAATTTGGGTCTTTTTACTGGGCCTGGAAGCAAGGGTTATTAAGCCCGGTATGTTATAGTAAGAAGGTAAAAAACTGAATGCTTATGGTGCTGACTGATGAAATTGTTTGATGCACACTGCATGCTCTATGATCTGCACACTATTTTCTGAGAGTAAGAAATCAAGTTGTAATACACATAATGAGTTGTGCCAAAAGTGAGATACTCACACATTGAGCTGAGATAACTGTCCAATTCCTGCATGGTGCCACACAGCATGAGACAGGGCCAATAAGTAGGTCATGTGTTGCTCGGCAAACACGGTCTGACTGGTGGTAAAGTTAAACACCTGGAATGGTTGACATCCCCCCTGTACTGTCAGTGGATGACTACAGATTGTCTCCCCTATCTTGCTGTTCAGGGCACTCCAGTAGGCCTCCTGAAATAGCAGAATACTGAGGTGACTCCAAGAGGGAATATGTTGATTACAGACCCAATTCCTGAAAAAGATCTTGTGTCTTTGACATCTTGTTCATACGAGGTGAAAATAGAAGAAAGAGAGGTATGGTCACTAATGATGTACATACTTACACAACTCCTCTTGTCATTTCTTGTTTATAGATGTGAAAACTCCCTACTTCATAACTATATTATTAGACTAATTTATTTTTAATAATGTGACTGGACCTCACATTTAGTGCACAATTTCTGATAAAGCCATAAATACCAGTCCTACAGCATTCATCCAGAGTATGGTTATTATTTTATTAAAGATAAATTTACATCATGACATGACCTTGTGCTAAATATGATACTTACAGGCAAGGCTGTCAGAACCAGTCCTACAGCATTCATCCACGACATGACCTTGTCCCGCTGTACCTGAGTGGAACTCTTCATCACCACGTCCAAGAGGGAATTCCCCACTACATTACCCGGCACAGGAAGTGCCATCAACTCTACACAGGTCACATACAGAGCATGTGCAGCGGGTCCCGGAAACTCGTTAAATCTCCAGTCACAGTTAGGGAAGGGGCTCTTACCATCAATAGCTTGTTAGAGTAAAGGTCTGTAATCAGGTTTGCTGATATAAGAAGTACTCTTTAACTACCTAAGGTTTGATATATTATTATACACTTTATAATTCATTCTGCCTACAAATAAGAAAGAAATGACGAAAAGTTTTAATTTTACTGAATACAATTTTAAGGAGGTAAATGTATTGTGAGCACAAAAAACAATATCTCAATCACTTTCTTTGACAATTTTTTTTTCAAATCCATTCTTCAATGCTACACCATACGTGAAGGTCATGAAATGCCCTCTAAGCATGAGCAAGGGTCATGAAATGCCCTCCAAGCATAAGCAAAGTAAAATAAATAAATCCTGATTGGGTCTTCAAAGTTTCCCTGCTAAATTTTGCTCAAAAATGGATTTTAAAGGAATAAACAGACTTTTTCCTACATAACCAAATTATGTTTTCTAAGGGGTATAATTCAAATAAAAAATTCCATCATGGATCAGATGAATATGAGCAGTGAAAAAGGATACTGTCTACAAGTCTGCCGATGATTCTGACATAATAATCCAGATCTGGATTCCAATCCAGACTCTCATCATGGGCAAATCTCTGATAATCTTCTGTCAGGAACCAGGAGCTGAGCCGGATCTCCTGATGGGCATCTGGAACAACAAATAACTATTTACATTGTATGAGATTTAGGTATTATGCATCAATTAAACAAAAATGACATTTTCTACAGGTGCAGACAGACAAATTTTAGGCAAAACAGTTTAAAATCAGTTTGTGTTTTTCTGTTTTCCTATCACCTCTATAACTGTTTTAATTGCTCCAGAAATGTGGAATACTTACTCCAGATGGTGGTGACTAGCCTCCGTTTGTATGCTGCTCTCTGGACCAAGATCTTGTGGTAGTAATGCAGTGTGTTGTACAGATAGGTAATGGGATGATCTAGTTAAAAAATGAAGAAACTTGATGTATAAAGAGAAGATACAAGTTAAAACAATCTGCATCTATTACCCTTATTAAAATCAAAATATATGTACCTGGTATGTACTTATATATTTACTAAAACTTGACTCCTGACAGAGATAATATATAGTTGGTAGTCAGTCAAACAAGTGTTTTAAGCATTTCAAAGGCTAAATGGAATTTATTTTCTATGAATGTCTACAAAGTACACTTCCATTCAGCTTTAAAGGTAAAGATTTCTTGTACATACCATGAAACTTGTAGAGAACACCCAGGCTCTCTAGTATTTTCTCAAACAGGTTCAAGTTACTAGTGGTGAGGGAGGGCTGTTCTAATATTCTATGTAACAGAATGTCCAGGACCTGTGTAATCAATTAAAATTTCTATGTAACAGAATGCAACAGAATGTCTAGGACCTGTTTAATCAAATAAAATTCTAAATACATGTATATAATTTAACAACTCTGAAGACATCTCTATTTATTGGTCAGGTTCCATCATCTTTTAGTTAGAATATTAAATATATTAACACCAAAATCATGTCTAAAAACAAACAACTTACTGGTAAAAATCTAAGACAGACATTCCCAAAATACACTGGCAGATACTGGTGTTGGATAGGACTGTTTAGATCTTGGATTCCCTCAAAGTAGAACTTTTCAGGATATTTCTAGTGAAATAAAAAGGTAAAACAGTAAAACTTATGGTTCATCATCTCCTGTAACCTAGACACTGTATTTATAATCTGTGTCAGATTTAGAATTGACTTACTTAGTGTATAATTCTCTTTTTAAGTGCAACTCACATTGACTGATTTGACAAACTACATACAGGTATAATGTTAAAGAACTAACCCTGTGGAAAGCCATGTGTTTCTCATGCCAGTTGCTCTGTAGCCAATGTTCAGGAGAATTCTATCAAATGAAGAAAATATCTATAATGTAAGATCACATCATCACATGTCAATGGTTTTAATCAACTTTCTATTCTCACATGCCACTGGTTTTAATCAACTTCCTTTATCGCATATCACTGGTTTTAATCGACTTTCTCAACAAATGGCTTGTGAAAATGTCTTGAATACATCTTTAATTCTCGGGTTTGTATCATCGTTATAAAGAGCACCAGTTCTAGTGACACAAACCTCTTTAACAAACTCCTGGACTCTGGATTTGAAGTCTTGAGGTTTTAGCAGCAACATGTGGATCAGAAGATAACAAAGGCGGGCATCTTCATCTACATTCCTCAAGGCCTGATCAAATATAGAAAACAGCAGCTCAGAATTCAATTCAGCTGATTAAACACTTAATGATGGTACAATTCCCTAACAAGAGATGACTCAATCCTTACCAGACAGAGGATTAATCTGTCTATGGTAACAATGTTGTATCTCCACACCATCTCATTTAAAGAGTCAATCGCCTGTCAATGAAATAAAAATATCACTATGTAAGTATAAACCATCACCTTTTTTATATGGTTTCATTTGTAGAATTTTTTTTCATACCATATGACTTACATGAAATAAAACATTCTTTGACATTACCGTATATACTCGCCTATAAGTCGGTCCGCCTATAAGTCGGTTGTGATTTTTTGAGGTTATTTTGGAGGGATTTGCTATTGACCCACCTATAAGTCGGTACAACTTTTTGCCAGGATCGGTGGACAATTTCAAATCGATGTTCTTATGTTTTAACGTGTTTCAAATAATATTTTGAGAAATTACGCCGATATTTTATCTCTCTTTTTTCTTCTCTTATAAATTTCATATCAATACTGTAATACATTTACCTGTGATCAAATAATATGTTAGGATATGACATCGGTAATTAATATTTTTATTTTTCAACAAACCAAACCACTACCATTTTAGTTTCTTTCTATACTGTTTTGTTTAAGCGTTAAATCCCTTGTCTTGTATATTTTATACATCGATCTCGATTATTGGCGGATCTCTGTTTCTTGGCATGGTGATGAACTATGTAACGAGTCTACCAACATTTTGATGATATTTAATTAGGAGGTGCTCAATGTCCAAGCCATATCTATAGTTTTTAATAACACTATGTTTGCTCTTTTATTAACAATTATCGTCTTTTAATTACCTGTATCCCTTACCTGACACCGTGTTTATTTAGTGGCATGCGCCCCGAGAAAATTGTGTACCACACACGGGAAGCATTTTCATAAACAATCGAGTTTTAATAGACTCCAGAATAACATTCTGAATTATTTTTTAAGAATATCATACCTGTTGTCAAAAACATTGCAGACGGTACATATAATTATGCATCAATGCTGAACGTATTATATCGGGTTCGCAATTTCATTTTACCGATAAACGATAAATTTACAGTAAGTCACAAGTTAATTAAAGAAATATTTTTGTTAATAATTAATCAAATAAATAATATACACTTAAGATCAAAATAAAATCATTAAAACATGTAAATACTTGTACTTTATAAATAATCTTAGAATACATAATTATATAATACACGTATAATACGTCCAGACATTTCTCAACGATAATCGTCTAAGTTATGTAAAAAATACTACATTTCGTCGTCCAGAATTTGATGACTCGCCTATAAGTCGGACATAGAGTTTTGGACCAAAAGTTAACTCCCAAAAAACCGACTTATAGGCGAGTATATACGGTACTTATCAATCATAACAAACAATGAAGAGTCCCACTTCTCAAAACTTCATTTTCATAACATAAAATTGAGTCACATTTTCAGTTATCAAGATTATATATATGTAAAGATGAAGTCTATAATGGGTAAATTTTAACAAAGTGCAGGGTTGATGTTTATGGTTCACCTTGTGAAAATGTTGGCCTCCTGCAGAATTGACATTAAGTTCTGACACAATGTAATCGGCAAATGTTCTCAGATGTGCCGAGACTGCCCGAGGTCCGAGACGATCCAAAACCCTGCAGAAAATATAATTAAATCTTCATTAAAGAGTTTAGATTACTGTGGTAGTGTAAGAAAACTTTATCATCATACATGTACACTATATAACGGAATTGTCTGAGCTTAATGATTCCTTGGGATCAGTGACACGTGTTGTTGTAAACTTACTTGTATGCTATGGATGGAACTCGATTCTCCTCTAGCAATGTTTTCCAGATAATACTGAAAATAGACTAAAAGTTTTATCATCAAGTTATAAGAAATATACACTGTGTTAACTTAACATGTAGAGCATAAGATGTTAAGCATATCTTAAAACAATTCCGTTTTATACTGACCACAGGAACACGGTGGACGACCCCTGCATGGAGAAATGAGCGATGATATCATTCTCATTGGCCATGGCTGTCAATTAAAATCAGAGAAAGGTACAATTACCAGAAAAACAGATGTATTCAAAAGAATGCATGTAGTTGCTAGTTTTTGCTGCATTTGACAAGAAAAATCTTAATCCTCCGTAAAATATGTAACAAGACAGCTCACTTAAACAAGTACATGAACCTGAATGAATCTTAAATCAACATAACAAGAATTGCTTGCAATTTTCCTTCTGATTTTTATCTTCATGTACATGTATATTGAATTGTAATGAATATTAAGTCTGGTAAATTTCTAATGAAAACTCTTCACCATTCTGTATTCCATTTTTGGTCTTTTGCATAATACATTTAGAGGTTTGTAGTATTTGGTAACTGATACTACCAGCACACACAATAAAAATAGTCATATAATCAATTAAAAAATCTTTACATTTACATATTACATTTGTGTTTGAGTCAATTTCAGTAGGAAAATCTGAAATGTACTGGGGAAGAAGTTGAGAATATGAAAAGAACACTTGATGGGACACATCTGGCTTTGGGGAGCTAATAAAGTAAAAGGGAGCTTACTTTTCCATTTTTTGTACTCAGCATCAACATTTCTTTTCAGTGTGTTTTTATCGTCGCGATGCTGGGGCTGTGACTGGAAGAACTCGGCCAGACTGGAGGGGAAGTTAGCCAGTGTGTTGGGGGACCAGTTGTGTGGGGTGTTGGTCATGATCTGGTTCAGAATCTCCCTCAGCCAGGTGGCTGAAAAACTATCCACACCTACAACAGGTAAAATAAGCATTCACAGATCTATACAAATACTAAACACTGTCAATTCAAAAACTCAACACTAAAACAAATAGACTTTAAATTTATCAAGGATATATTATTAAAGATCTAAATTTGTATAACACAGTAATACTTGCAAATGATGCTAGAACTGTGTAGTATAGTCTTATCTGTACAGTTTGGGATACCGTACACAATACTAAGGTGAATAATGATTTCTTACCCGTGATATGCATGGCACAAGCCACAATAAGAACTAGTGATACAATAGTAAGGAGTGTAATGATTTCGTACCTGTGACATGCATGGCACGAGCCACTGTGAGAACTAGAGCTCTATTAAGCTCCTCTGACTCATTAGACAGGAACCCCGGTCGTCCTGGTTCGTTAAATATTCTGGACAGCTGTGGCTGCACCTCAAAGCTCCCCAGTCCCGTAATCAACCTCAGGGCTGTACTCTCCATGCTGAAAATGAGACATCAACTTCAGGGCATTATAAGGATTATAACATGAACAATGAAACAAAGGTACTTCCAGTCTTGTTAACTAGGTGAGAGTACATCACTTCCCTGTCATTTTGATACTTACATTTACTTATGTTTGGTTCTGGTTGATTTACTGCAGCTATTATGGTTTCTAGTCAATTTACCACAGATTCCTGCTTAATTTACCAATTTTAAAAGGGACTGCTTATTTTCCACAGTTTTAACAGGTTATTGGTGACTTGCAACATTTGTAGCTGGTTTTAATTGACTTACCACAGTTTAAACAGGTTCTGGTTGACTTACTACTGTTGTAGTTGTTTCTGGTTGACTTACCACTGTTGTAGGTGGTTCTGGTTGACTTACCACTGTTGTAGTTGGTTCTGGTTGACTTACCACACTTGTAGCTAGTTCTGTTGACTTAACACACTTGTAGCTGGTTCTGGTTGACTTACCACACTTGTAGCTGGTTCTAGTTGACTTACCAAAGTTGCAGCTGGTTCTGGTTGACTTACTACTGTTGTAGCTGGTTTTGGTTGACTAACCACACTTGTAGCTAGTTCTGTTGACTTACCACACTTGTAGCTGGTTCTGGTTGACTTACCACACTTGTAGCTGGTTCTAGTTGACTTACCAAAGTTGTAGCTGGTTCTGGTTGACTTACTACTGTTGTAGCTGGTTCTGGTTGACTTACCGCACTTGTAGCTAGTTCTGTTGACTTACCACACTTGTAGCTGGTTCTGGTTGACTTACCACACTTGTAGCTGGTTTTAGTTGACTTACCACACTTGTAGCTGGTTTTGGTTGATTTACTACTGTTGTAGCTGGTTCTGGTTGACTTATCACAGTTGTAGCCGGTTGACTTACTACTGTTGTAGCTGGTTCTGGTTGACATACTTCTATTGTACCTGGTTCTGTATGACTTACCACAACTGTAGCTGGTTCTGGTTGGTTTGAGCTGACTGACTTAGGTGATGTAGATGGCTCAGAAGCTGTATGCGGTAGTGTGGCTGTGTGTGGTGAAGGCGGTAGCTGAACATCTCGAGGAGGGTATGAAGAATTCCCCATGCATTGTGAGTGAACACAGTAGGCAGTAACTGGCCTATTGGTAAGCAAAGATTAAAGTTAGGCCTGCATAAACTCGAGTTTACAGCATTCTACAATGTACTATTAAAAATATTACAACAAAAGTAGAATTATATTCAATATTTATGTTTGCAATTCAAGATACTAAAGTCTTTTTTTTTTTTACATCATTTCCTGCTCAAGCTACTCACTATCACTATTTACAGTTCTATACAAATTCCTGACAATTTTGGCATTATTAGCAATGGCCTCGACAATGCTTTCATTTATTGTTTCTTATAATTCAATTTCAAAAGTTGTCTGAGAAAATGAATAAAATCATATCTGAAATTGCTAAAAACTAGCTACACATTTAATAAATGTGCTAAAATATTCTGTTATATGGTATATGTCAGTGAGTTGAATGTCTGTTACTTACTAATGAATCCTTTGATTCCAAGAGATTCTATCTCCATATACACTAGAAGTCTACTATAAGTCTCTATCAGTGCTGGGGACTGAGCAATCGTCTGCTTAGACTTGGCCTGTTTTATCACACGGTGAACTATACTGTGTATTAAGCTGAAAATCACCAATTAATTTTGTTTTAATGAAAATTCAAAAATTTTCCTCTCTCAAATCTGTTTAAACATGAATGTGTTTCCAACAGTCCACCCCATATGTGGCTACAAACCTGATGAAACAAAAAATTAAAAATTTGGAGTATCTAAAAGATTTTTCATAAAGAACATTCCTGTAAACAATGTGTGCTCCTCCACTAATTGACAGAGGAACAAAGGTGGAAATTAACTTCTACCATTTCATATTTCCTAAATAATGACCTACTTCATAGAACTGACCTCATTTTGGCGTGAACTGTTAGTGAGTCTAACAGACTCATGGCAAGAGGCTGGGTGGGAGCTGAAGCTACAATGTTGCCAGGCAACAATGTTGTGTGTTTATTGTCACCATAGATACTCTCTACCAGTTTTCCCATTGGTAAATTGAAGAAGTCATTATTTGTGCTATCTGTAATACATGTTTTTGTAATATATAGTATTCATGACATTTTTTGAGTATGCATTACATAAAAATCATCTCTTTATTAAGTTAACTGAGAACTACTCACAGGCATTACAGAGAAGAGCTATCTTATAGTCATTCAATGAGAGATTCTTGTTGTTCAAACTCTGCTTCAAAAATCTAAAACAAACATATTTCATATTATTTTTATAATAAATTTGTTACATGTGTTCTGTCTAAGCTATTGATTTCATCTAAATTGTATTACATAACATACTCGCAGTGCTCTTGTAGGGCATAAGGAATGGGGCGTGGCAGCTTGATGGTGTCAGTCTGGGCTTTCTTGTTAAGGTGAATCCAGATACAAGTAGCAGCGACTCCGTGGGTCGACTGGGCCTTCATTACGTCCGGCATCGTTATTGTTCCCTTGTCTGGGTACAACAGATCATAGAGCTTCATCACGGGTAGAAACTCCTTCAGCTGCCAATGGATATCAGTGATACTAGTTAACAACCTTTATTTGGCACCATGAAACTTTAAAGTTTATTTCCACTAGAGTCTGCTTTGAAACAACATAGTTGGCTCATGCATTGTGATGTAAAGAGTTTGCCATCAATTTCTCCAAATGGACTATATTTGATACTTTAAGTAAACATGAACTCTAAAGCTCACATGTCCATCTTCTCTTAAAAACATCAGAGTCAAACAGAGAGTTGCTTGTTCACTTAACGAGCAGAGCCATCTCTTCAGATCAATGTGTGACATATCATTCCATGATAAAATTGACCAACTTAAGTCTAACACTAAAAGGAATTCCATTCATTTTATGCAAAGAAACCTGTCTCTACTTTAACAATTTTGACTAAAGTTAAGCATTGTTTTTAAATAATCCTGACAAGGAACTTAATTGGATCTTAAAGAAGAGAAACACTGATTTCTTGTCATCATCTGAATATCTTAGATATGAAGACAGATTTTGATTTTAGCTGACTTACCGGATTCTTCTGTATGCTGCCTGATATAAATTGCAGTAGGACCCACATTAAGTGATCTCGACCTTTGTTGAGATTGC